CTCAGAAATCAACTTGAGACGTTTATACACTTCCGTCTCCTCAGTCTGAACTACCGGTTATGGTACTAGTTGCGGAAGAGAAACAATCATAGCCCTTAAGGCACTCTATAACAAGCGATTTAGTGCCAGACCAGCCGAACCTTCACCATTTTCAATAGGCGTCTCAATATCATTCCTACTAGTGGGAACACCTCTCAGGGAAACCAAGTCCCTAAGATGTGTATCCTCTTCAACTTGCTCCGCGGGATTGGAGTTAGAACTTTCACCACCATCACCCCTTGTCGGCCTAGGGTTAACTTCCCTTGGTTCTTTTCGCAGTGGCATCGTGTTATAAAATGAGAAAATGGTTCAACAACGATAACACTAAGGTTTGACTAAGAACAACGTTCTAACATGAACGACTCTATATAAAACGACACTACACCAACACTTAGCATGAAAGGTTAAAATTGGAAAACTAAAATTTTTTTCAACTTAGGCCTTGAAATCTTTGAAAACTTGAAATGATTGAGATTTTTCTTTGAGAAGATATACCTAATTTTTTCTAGTGAAATCATCAATAAATAAGAGAAAATATCTATTACATCCAAGGGATGGAATCGTTAATGGACCACACAAATCTGTATGAACAAGCTCCAATTAATGCTTGGCACGCCACAAGGATTGTGAAAGAAATGGATCTCTATGTTATTTTCCAAGCATGCCACAAGGATTATGCCACTTGTATAATCTCCCAAGCTTGCTTGGATTTGGTGGCTTTTGCAATTCTTTTGTAGATCGGCATTTCAATTGTTTGGTAGATTGTGAAAAGTGCCTTGCTATCCTTTTCTCGCTTCTCATTCAAAGCATTCTTTTGTACTTGAGTTAAATCATCTTTATTTTCGGGTTCATCAAAACCCTCTTCAACAACATCCCGCTAAGGAGTGTGTAAAAACCCACCTACCGAATCAACTAGCCCCAAAAATGGATGGCGCTGAAACGCGTGACCTATACTTGGCCGTCGGGGAAAGCACTAGGCCCCGATGAGTAAGACGGCGCGACAGTCGCTGCAAAACCCTGGGCGTGAGCCCGGGCACGAGTGGTCGTTGGTGCAGATCTTGGTGGCAGTAACAAATATTCAAATGAGAACTTTGAAGGCTGAAGAAGGGAAAGGTTCCATGGGAATGGCACTTGCACATGGGTTAATCGATCCTAAGAGACGGGGGAAGCCCATTAGATAGCGCGTTTTGAGCAAGCTTTGAAAGGGAATCATGTAACGACCCAAACCTGTGGGCCCGAATTATTAACCGGGTCCTTATCCTAACTCGAGATCAATTCAGGGCAATACTGCCATTTCTTATGCTCATAGGTGGTACACAAAATAATTCTAAGGTCCAAGGTAATAAAAAAACACAATCTGGAAGGAGGGGTCAAAGATACAAGTCAAAGGGACATGGTTGTAATACCCCCGGTCAATCGGCTGATGGCCCTTCGTCGGCCGGCTGAAATTGCATGTTGGGTCGGCTGATGGAGATGATTAGCCGACCGAAACGATTGTATAAACTATAAGCTCTAAAGACTTTTGCAAAGTGAACTGTCAGCTAGCTGGTGGGTGGGCCGGGTTCAGCCGACTGATGATGAGGTTTCGGTCGGTCGAATGGCTAAATTAGCCAGCCGTAACAAGGCTTTCAAATGCTCTACTCATTGGAATAGCCTCAAAATGGTTTGTTGATCGGCTGACATGCCTTGTCAGATGGGTGACAAGCCCTGGGATACTGCTATGTGTAGCCTGAAACATCAGAAAACTAGGTTCTTGTGAGCCAAACCTACTATCTAACCTACTCCGAATTCACAGCAATAGCACATAACATTATACATTTAAAAACATCCATAAATTCTCAAGGTATAATATCACATTCCCATTCAATATAAAATTTCTACATAGTCTCAATTTACATCAAAATACTATCAAGTGTCATAATTACAGTACACGGTCATGCTTTACAAAAAAAATACATTTCCAAGGTGACACTTTACAAAAGAACGGATTTCCAAAACACAAAAGTTAGCAAAAATGAACTTCAAATCTCTAAACTAAGTTTGTGGTGGACCATCATCCGCCACTTCTTTCTCGAACCCTGAAAAATGTTAATAATAAAGGGGTAAGCAAATTACTCAGTAGGTGGTGCCTAAGATACACCACTTGTGACCCCATGAATCTAAACAATAAATATGAATAAGGGAAACGGGATCATGCCATGTTGAGGAAAATTTAACAACAAAATCAACAACCACGAATCAAAGTTGTAATGAACCATGCCATGCAATGGGATGCAATGTCATGCAATGTCGCTCCCCATTTCCAAAACATTTCCTTCATCATTTTCAAACCGTTAGTGAAACCAGTCCCATTGCAACTCTATAGCGGCACGAGAGGAGGATTGCCTAACTGTCCTTGACCCATGGCAACTCCATGGCGTCATTTGGGGCCTAGGTAACTCAACCACGCTATAACAGTCTCCCTAGTCCCCTCCAGGTCGCACTAACACAACGAACCCTAGGCAACTCCTAGGCGACTGGGATTTCGCAAATCTTTCATCAAAACTTTTCCCCAAAACTTTTTACTTTTCATTTCAAATCAAAATTTCCCATTCCATGCCCAATGACATGTGTGAATGTCTCATGCTTTCCATTGCTATGACAATAGAGAATTTTATACTTCACAAATCAATATGTTTCCATATAACAATTTCTAGTAAGTTAAACATAATAGGCATGGTATACTACCACTTAAGCATGTTTTTTCATACAAATCAACTAATAAATATTCATATGCTTCATACACAACAATTAGATCTTTTTAAAAGAATCAACATTAATTAAGCATGCTATGCAACAAATAAGGAAGAATCAACTCACAAAAATCTAAGAGTGTGTGGTTTAGAGACCCCTACCTCAAATTGAAGAAAATGAGTCCCAAAAGTCAAAATTCCTACGGCGGCCAAACAGAGATTGGCTCCAATCAAAACGATGGCCTCGACGAGCTCTCTAACTTTGCCTAAAGCGATACTATCAAATTCTCAATGGACTAGGCTAGATCAAGCCTTGAACTTGTTGAGAAAAGAAAAAGAAAAAAGAAGGAAATGAGAGGGAAAGCGAGATCACGTAGAGAGAGAAATTAAGGCCAAAAAAAAAAAAAAGGACCTTTCGGCCTTATAAAAGAGAAATGATGGTGGGTCCCCCAAAAGAGTTTTTTTTCTTTTAACATTAATTTTCCACCACAAAAAATTCATATACAAATACTAATTATATTATAACCACAATTTAGCATCTAAACAATTAACTTATGTACAAAAATTAACAATGCATGAATGCAATGGGCCCGAGACGCCACCCCCATACACAACAACCCTGTTAGCGGGTCCCACTTGAAACCTTCAGGTCCAAAAAATAGAAAAATGTCAAAATGGCAACCAGTGCACTTCCAAGAGTTCTAAACTCAAGGAAATGACCCATGCAACTCTCAGACACACCCAGCACATCCATAGTGTCCGGCATGCAAAACGAGAAAATGTAAAAATACCCTTGCAAAACAAAAAATTCTAGAAAAATGGTGAGAAAGAAGAATATTACAAATCAGGTTAAAATTCCTAAACTGGGATGTGGCGGCTAACGGCAACGTTAGGGAGTCTGGAGACGTCTGTGGGGGCCTCGAGAAGAGTTGTCTTTTCTATTTAACAGCCTGCCCACCCTGGAAACGGCTCAGCCGGAGGTAGGGTCCAACAGCTGGAAGAGCACTGCACGTCGCGTGGTGTCCGGTGCGCCCCTGGCGGCCTTTGAAAATCCGAAGGACTGAGTGTCTCCCAGGCCCGGTCGTACTCATAACCGCATCAGGTCTCCAAGGTGAACAATATGGAACAATGTAAGCAAGGAAAGTCGGCAAAATGAATCTGTAACTTCGGAACAATGTAGGCAAGGGAACAGCACATCCGGCTATGTCTAATTTTTCTTCTTTCTCATTTTCATCTTTGAATGTTTTTTCTTCATCAACTCCTTCTCTTCCTTCTTTTTTATACACCACTGTCACCATTTTCTCATCTTGCATCTCTTTGCTTTTTTTCATCAAATTTTATATTCATACATTGCACCTTTTCAAAATCTTGCATCTTTATGACATTTTCTCATCTTGCATCTTTTTACTATGTTTTACTTTGGTGAATTTCATAAGATGGAATAATTGTTTATTTCTTATTCACTCGTGTCACTTCATATTTCTCCTTAATTTTCCGTAATCAATATACTTTGCTTCAATCGGTATCAAGTACATTGAGAATCTCTAATACATACCTTACCTAAGTAAGTGTATACAAAAAAACTCAGTTTGGTTCAATTTTTTAAAAACTGTTTCTTGAAAATTGTCTTTTATAGTTCTCTAAAAGCAGTTTTGTGTTCACTAAATTCTTGAGAATCGGTTTTAGAGTTAGAAACTAAGCAAGCTCTTAATCTCAGTAAGGAAGTTGAAGCAAAAGTTCCCATTGACACCATTTGAACTGGACGCGCATGGAGCCAACTTCTTCAAGGTCACAATATATATGCAGTTTAATGCAAGTTCCAAAACAAAAAAAGGTTTATGTTCTTTCATCAATAAAAATAGAACAGGCCCATGAAACAATATCTACTAGTGTGGTGTGTGAGTCCAAGCGAGGGACTTGAGCCCACATTCCGTCATTCAGGTTCGGATTTGGTGCTCAGACTCTCCATTTGCGCATCACACTTACAATTTTTTTAAAAGTAAAATTTAAAAAGTGACAACCCCCCCAACTTCCAGGTGTCTCGTAGGGGCAGCTCTTGTGAGATGCATACATCTATCAGTGATCTTTTTTATTTAAATGGCAAAAAAATAAGGATAAAAAATTGAGCTGCCAAACTTGTGAAGAGACTAGCCTAACCAACATGCAGTCACAAGGAATTCCATCTGAAATTTAAAGAAAAAGCTATAAAGTACTACAAACCCATTACTATTAATCATAAAACACCATTTAGCTTATCATTATATATTGTGCGAATACAATATCACACCGATAGCCTTATTTAAAAGCATCAGAGCTTTAGCATCACTCATTGAAATCCTACTAAACAGATAAAACTAAGCTCACACGACATACATAGTTCACATATATATATGATTATTGTAGTTCATGCACTATAGCGTCCAGTTTGAAGTACTTCATGAAAATACACGTAAATGACTCAATATTGTGCGCTTGCAGCACTTTCGTCATGGCAGCAGACAAAAGCAAAGTGCTTCTCCATATTGCGGCGGCACTCTGGGCATGTCATATTCTCCGGAATCCACCCGAGAGTGCTCGAAAAGTCGAAGCGACAGCACGGATGAGCCGGACCATGATGCTTGTCATAGTACTCCTTAATCGACCTATCGAATCCTTTCTCAGGTATTTGCTTCTTCCATAAATCATAATCCGACAATGCAAGCAACACTGTGCTGCTGTGCCCGTTGAGCACCACGGATGATCCTTTGGTCAGCACGGCCCAACCACCGCTCTTGTCGTAGCTCAGGATTTTCTTGATCTCCTCCATCATGGGTTCACTGTCATCGACGCTGCCTAGTCGAATCTTGGAGAACAACATGCTCTGTAGACGGGTCCAGAAAAATGATATCGTGACCATCATCTCTTGCCAGCAGTAGCTGAGTTTCTCGTCCCTGATGGTTTTGATTACGCCCGGGACTTTCTCCCTTTTGGCGCTCTTTCCCAAATATACCATTTGTAATGGGATGTCAGCATTCTCTGCCAAATTGCGTGCCTTTTTTGTAAATTCTCGAATCCATTTAATGTCATCCCCTCCATACAAGAATATGTATTTGCCGTCTTTTACCTAAAATAAACAAGACATTCATTCAACAATAATGTTGTCAAAACATGCTGATTTAAGATCATGTGCTTATAAATAAATTAATTACCCAATTCAGAATTGTTTGGTCAATGCCATGGAGGAGCAATTCAAGTCTCCAAACCCCTTCCTTCCAAAGAGCTTCCTCTTTCGAGCTAGTGAAAGGGAAGGCATTACTTCCCCATATCCGCATCATGTGGATTGCATTAGGGTTCACCACCTTTCCTTGTGCGTCGACCACCACAAGTATAGGCTTGTTCCTGAAGTGCCATTTCTCCTTGATGAACCAGATGACCGGCTTCTCGATGAATGAAGGGTGCACTGACAACCAGGGCATTTTGGTCTGCTGGCTCTCAAACTGTTCCTGCATGGAGTCAGCCCAATGTTCCAAAATTGGAATCCACACTACCTCATATGCATTCTTCTTCGAGTCCTTGTAAATCTGCTCTAGTTCCGTAATCTCTTCCTGGGAGATTTCTAGACCCGATATCAACAATGACACATTCTTCTTCCTCAGAATTTCAAGGTTCGCCTGTTTAATTTTTTATACAATTAATTAAAAGATATTAAATTTCAGTAGAATCGAGTTAATCAACATTGATCATCACAAGACTCCAGATGGAGTACTAGGAGTGATTTGTTCAAACCCTTTTCTTTTCACCATCAAGGAGTGGTAGCTGATCATCCTTGGGGCAAATTATGGCTTTGAGAACTTCCATCTTGTCAGTGTGGATCATTAATTCAAATAAATGCTGCAGTGCGTCAACCTTCTTCTTATCCTCTGCATGAAACACTAATGTTAATATCATTAATTTTTCAGGCATTGTGTGAATTTAAATGGTAGGTCAGTACAATTACCTATGTATTGGTAGCAAGTTGTCAGTTGCTTCTTAAGATGGTCGAGTATTTTGCTGATCATGTCAGTCAAGGTAGATAGTTCCGATGACTCTTGTAAGCTGAAACCAGTTGCAAGAGGTTTAATTTCTTATATATGTCATGAAGAACCATGCGTGTTCTTCTAATAGAATTATTGGAATGTACCAGTACCTATTACCTCATGATCATTATATATGTAATATATATCAAATTGTTGAACTACACAATTATAATGGTTGTTAATTATGATTGAAGATATGCATATTAATTAATTTATATATCTATTTTGAGCATGACAATAAACATACTTGTGGCCATTGGTACTGAGATTGATAATCTGATCTGCACAAACAGCGACGCCTTTAATGGCCCAATAGACAGCAGTTGGGATAGTGGCTGTGGCGGTGGACAATGCCGGTAAATCCTTTGTGATGTAGATATATGGATATGGTAGATCCTTGAACTCCACAATACATCTTGTCATATCCAAAATGGTCCTGATGAGATTGTTAATTTCATCAAACCGCAATTTTAATGAGCCTCAGTGCTCCCTGAGGATAGGTAATTGCCTAAGGATTGCCAATGATTTTGCAAGTTGGTTTGATGAGTAAATCTGGCAAAGGAGGCAGAATTCCCCATATTTCGAAGTAAAAGCTGCCAAGGTTAGCACCAGCTTAGCCTCCCATGAATAGCCCGATAGCGCATTAAACAGACGGAGTATTGTTGCGTGTCCTTCCGCTCCGCTCAAACATTTGCATTCCATCTGAATATACATTTATATAAAATATGTTGATACAATACTGATTATATCTATACTTGCAAAGAAATGACTTAAAAATGACACATTTTTTTTTTTTTTTTTTTTGAATCATATATATAGAATGAAACAATAATTTATTCTGTACGATGTATACTATATATAAGAACCTCGCAGGAGATCTTTTCAATAGTACTACATGACAGTGAGTCAAGCATGGGAACGACACCGGCTTGATGGGTTTTGTCTTCCATGTTTTCCTTTTGAGTACCATCCTTCAGTGAAAACACAAGTAACAATTAGCAAAAAAAGAACTAATTAATATACATATGCATGAATCAAAGGAGCTTTTATTTAAACATGCATCACTTTAATTCCATACAGATGCAGAATTCTTTAAATATTTAATGAAGGAAAAGGAGATACATAGAGGGTGGAGCGGCGGAGGATGTCCTCCACGACGTCGAGGAGAGGTTTAACATCAACCTCGCGGCATTGACCAGTAGTATGAGTTGCCAGAATTTGGTTCATCGTGTCGTCAGAAGACAAGGACATGTTTCCGCGGTCACTTTTGATCAGTTGGGGGACAGAACCTGCAGGAGCCAACTTGCTGGCCATGTTTGGCGATGTTGGAAAGTAGCAGAACGTACTGTAGCTAGCTTTCAGAACAGATGAGAAAGGGTACTTAAGAGGGCTTGGCTTGGCTTCCGCTTGCAATCTGCCTTGCCTTATATAGTACTCTCATTCAATAAATTGTTGAATCATACAATTAAAACATCATATGACGGGGGGTTTAATTAGCAACGACACCCTACTACCAGTAAGTTTCATGAGTCGACTACAGAGGGAGCATGTGTCTAGGTGGGGCACATGCCCCTGAAATTCTTATTTTTTATACTATTATATGTATATATTTTTGAAAGTTCAAATATGTCTCCCCTCAGAATTATTTTTTTATTTTTTTATTTTTCAACACAAATTAGTATTAGTGATAGGATGGGGTAATTTTGTCATTCACCTACCACAGCCTAAGGAAACACTATTTTCAGTAGAATATAAAATCCTGGCTCCAACCTGGACGGGACTAACTTTATATGGGTCGTGTTCCATGATTTGTAATGCAACATCGATCCTAGGTTGTTAATTAATTACTCCATGTGCAAGTTTTGAATCATACAATTAAGACATAATATGACTCGGTTTTGGCAAACATTTGGGTCATAATTGTGTCGTGTCATGTTGATCAAATTGTATTTTACGAAATATAATATCATTCTTAAAGAGCTTCAATGTAGGCATGGAAGTAGACCTGGCAATGGATCGAACTTTGATCCGAATCCGATCCGATTACTTGAATATAAATTAAACAAAAAATTTGATAACTCAATTACGATCCGAATTCGATAATCCAATTCCTTAACAAATTGGATATGGATTTATGTTGATCCGATCCGATAATAATTCGATCATATTAAATTTATATATATATATATATATATATATATATATATATACAATACTACTATCATATTTGTATTAAATGTAACAAAATAATAATAATAATCATAATCATAATGTTTTATGTACAATAGTGTGGTGTTCTCACCCACATACTATTAAATTTATTAGTATATATATATATTAATAAGGTCATAATATTTATTCATTAACAATAGTAAATGATCTATATTTTTTTTCTTTTCCTTCCATATTTTATTTATCTTTTGTTTTCTATCATTTTTTTCTAATCATTGTTTTTATTCTCTTTTGACATTAAATTTTTTTTTTTCTTTTTTTTTTATCAAAAAAGAAATTACACTTTTATTTGATAGGATATCCATTTATTAACAAATCGGGTATGAATGCACTTTAAAAAATCCGTCGGATTATCAAATCGGCTCAGATCGAGTAAAATGTTTATCGGATTAGACCAGATCCAATCCGAATCTAATCCATTGACAGGCCGGTCTACATGGAAATGTGTGTTTAACCTTTCAAAATATATATATATATTATTAAAGTACTATTATTATTTTATTTATTCCCATTATTACTTCATTTTTAATTATGTATTGATGATATATATATATATTACAAACATATTAATGATATAAAAACTTGAAAAGTTTGCATTATCATTATTATCATCCTTCCTAATTTTCATTTGTGACCCTATCTCTCATCTGATCACTACAACAACCCATCTTAATATTCTCATCTCCATTACATGAAGACATTCTCTTTGTTTTTTTTTAAAGCCCAACACTTCACACCATAAAGCATAGTTGGCCTAATAACGGTCCTATAGAAATTTTCATTTAACTTATGTGTTATTCTCTTTTATCACATAAGATGTGAGAAGCTTGTCTCTATTTTACTTAGTGGGTGTTTGGGATTGCTTCTCTATTAGCAAAAAGCACTTTCATTGCTGCAAAAAAAAAAAAAAAAAAAAAAAAAAAAAAAAAAAAAAAGAAGAAGAAGTAGAAGAAGAAGAAGAAGAAGAAGATGATGCTGATAAGTGGTAGAGTTTATGTCAAAGAAGCGCGTTTAAGTGAAGTTAGGAATCATAGCTTTCAAAATTGCGTTACAGGTTCCTGTTTTTAGGTAACTAAGTTCTTTTAGACAATTTAATCCCTTTATATTTTTTATAAATACAATTTTGTCCCTGCTACCAATAAATAGCAAACAATATCTGGGACTCTGTAACAAACGAAGATTTTAGATTATTCTGGGATTTTGAGAGCCGCCTTCCAAATCAAACACAAGTTAATCATCATTAGAATATGTTTAACTCATTTATATTTTAGTACTCAATACAAATTCGATATCATAAACAAAATATTTGATATTTAAAAATAATAATAAATAAATTATTCAACTCAATGGAATTTTATAATATTTAATATTAGAAAATTAGCACATGTTTAGTGTAAGGGTAATATAGTAAAATTAGTAATAAAAGTGCTTTAAGCAATAATTTTTTTTTTTCAATCATATATATAGAATGAATCAATAAATTAAAGTGGAGTGCATTACACGTTATTAACATGATATGGTGTAGATGTATGTTAGCTTGTAAATTCTTGAACAGTGGACCAACAAAAAATAAATTATTTTAATAAGTGCTTCTCATCATATCAAATTAATTGATTGACATCTATAAATTATTGAGTTGTGCAGCGGAATATTACTTGTATATAAAGTTTTGTATTTTGATTATTTGTGAGTTGTGCTACAGAATATTACTTGTATAAAAAGTTTTGTATTTTGAAAACAGATCTGTGACTTTCTAACTTTACTTATTTTAGCAATTAATCAATTAATCTCATGCAGATAAAATAAAGTAAAGTAATAGAATTAGAGATAACACCAGAACTTTTAGCGAGGAAACCCTAATTGGGAAAATAGACCAATTATTTTCGTGAAAAAAACCTCGTGAACTATGCAGTCTAAAGTAATTAAATCAATCCACTATATTTAAAATAAAGTATAATAGAATTTGACTCAGGCTCACACTGTATTATTTTATGAAACACCAATCGCTGACAATTCTCTAGCTTTACGATGTCTCGTCCAATAGCACTTGACATCAGGCTTACTCTTGAACTCTATGGAAAGATTGCTAGCAAATCAAACAATACTCCTCGAATGCTTTGACCCTTTCAAAGTGCGATTGCTTCACCTCTATTCTTCAAGATCTGGATTTGATGTAGAAGTAAATCTATTTTTTCTAATCGTTGTAAATGCGAGAATTTAATCACGATCAGGACTTGACCCAGGACTTGACCCACTCTATAAACTCACTCTTGTGTTTATATGTGTATTCTAAAAAGAAAGACAAAAAAATCAACTTTGATTTTCTGCAAAAATATCTCTCTAATAAGCTTTTAATAAATCTGAAGTTATAGTGTAAAAGCCGTATCAACCTAGATGCTTATCAAGGTTTATATAGAATATTCAAAGACCTAGATATGCATAGAATAAGGTAATTTTCGTGCATATGACTTTTGGTAGTATTCTAAACCAACTAGGAAGGAAAATAATAATAGGAAACAAAAGTTACTAAACGGTTCAAAAATGGCTTAACCGGTTCAAGAGGGTCAGTTAGAATTCGAAAAAATTGTTGAATGACTTGAACCGGTTCCAAAATACTTGAACAGGTTCAAGATGACCAGTCTTGAAATTTGAAGGCTAAAACTTGGACAAATACTATTTTGGTAAGTTTTGAAAATATATCAAGTATGAAAAGTGTTCTAACCTTCTTAGATCTCTTCCTAAAGTGTTGTTCTTTCCTTTCTTGACGATTTCAGAATATCATCTTTGAATAACTTTCTAATTCCGCGGTCGACCTTCGATCTTGAAATAATAACTTAAAATTACAACTCGATCGTACTTGTTTTAACACCAAAAGTTGCCAATTACAAAAATTATCTCACACATCTTTCTTCTTTTTTTTTTATTGTATTTTCATTATATATACACACACTAAGACTATTATGATATAAAAAGTGATATTTCAATTGATCTTTAAAATTTTCAAGTTTTAATTACATACTACTAATTTGGCTCCTCAAATAAAGTTTTTTTTTTTTTTTTTTACTTTGCCCATTTAATTTGCGAAGTCTTATCTTCCCGTCTCAAAAGGGTACCCAAAAGCTATGATTGTTCATCTCTCCCTGAGCTGGAATTTCCATTGTGCTTCATTAGATAACACCTAACTTAATGGTTTGTGTTTCTGTAAATGTCAGAAATTCTGGTTTTGAACAGTGCAAGACTTATGAACTGTTTTTGAGATTGAAAGGCTTAATCTATGTTTGTATTTTGAACAGTATAACCTGTAGGTAAATATATATTCATGCTTATAATGACATTTAAGATATAACAAACCTTATACTAATTACTATGAGATAATTAATATTATGTTAAAAAATTAATTAATTAAATATTCAAATAAATATTTAATTAAAATGAAAATTAAAGTAGTAAAATAATAATTGTTAAATAAAGATCCTGGACGGAGGGTAGTATTGGATACTCTGTCCTTAAGATAATTTACGCCTAACGTGGTGTTGACAGACTCTATGGCGTTTGTCTCGCAAGATACAACAGTCTTGATCCACTAGTAGCAGTACTTCAAACTCGTGGATAAGGCGAACCACCTCCGTGTAATACTTTCTGACTCAAAAATGCATCTATACTACATAAATAATGAATTAAGTGCAATCCGAACCAAAAGGGTCAGACCAATTTTAATATGGCTCATCCATATTGTTCTTGGGCTTAATGGTTCAAATCACGTGACCCTGGCTCGAACCCACTTGGGTTTATGAAATAGGAAAGAAGAATGTAGAGAATTAAACGTTGAATTCTCTCTAGAATGAATGACTGAACTAGAAGCCTAGGGTATTTCTACACTTGTAAGTGTTTGTTCGTGACTAAACGACACACCACTTCATAACCACTAGATGCAATAGTTCAATGAGTTGTAATTATTCATCCAAAGAGATACGTCTCATGTTCTGAAATCAAAATAACCAAATGCAATGGTTGTTCAAATGGGTTACACTGATTCAACATATACACCACTTCATAAAAATTGTGGTCTAGTTCATATACACGTACACCACTGTACTGTTTGCATAGCAATTGAACATGCAAGTATTCATCTTTTTCACGCTGCAATAGTTGATATAGTCTAATG